CTGATGCTGTAGATTACGTCCGTATGTGAGCAAAAAACATGCGTGTTCGTAAACCAACCTTCGAAATATATCTGTAAAATTATTTAAAAAGTGAACTTCTGATATTTTTTATTATTAGTTTAATCATAATTCCCTACAATTTGTCTGAAGTTGATCTTCGAAAGATTATGAGTTAGTAAGAAAGCTTTCTTTCGTGTATATACTTATAAAGATAGAAACAGTATGATAAATTCGGCATCCATGCAATACAATAAATTAACTATGTTCGTATAGATGATGTAGCTTACGAACTGACATCAGATAACACTGATTAAGCTCATACGGAAATCATCAGGTCATTCACTATCGTGGATACGCCTCATATTGAAGTTCTAATTACATCAAGACGTAGATATAGTGTCTTTATCAAATATGCTGTCTGTAACTAATAATTATCCTTCGTCACAAAAGTGCTACATTGGACTTTTAGGTTAAGTACCCTTAATAAGCTGGAAAGAATATTAATCAAACAATGAATAAAGGGCTGTGGAAGATCATGGAATGATTGATGTCAAACATTAACACTATTTGATGTCAGCTCAATGATCTAGATGTTCAGCATCCACTAGAAAAACAGGTGGTCCTCGGTTAGACTCCGGTGTGCTGAATTGTAGATTCAAACTGATAAGGAGTCCCTTACAAGGATGAAAGGACCGTCCAGTGCTTCTAGTCTTTTAATAATAGTCTAGCTAAGATCAAACTGTAATTTCAACTGTGATAATCAGGAGTTTGTTGAATGAGACTTCGATCAAAGTTTCTATTGAAAACTAGACACTAATTTAAAATACAAGAAAATCATTTCACAAAACTTGAAATTATTTGGGACTATATCACTATATCCTAATATAGAACACCCAAGCAGTCCACGATCCCGCCTCACATGATTCGAACCCAGGACTTTTGGTCGTGCTCGCGAATGCTATATATATATAATCATGCATACATACAAATATTACTATAAACCTGTATGAATATTTCGTTATTAATTCCCAAATCGACAAAGTAACTTGAAAGGAATTAATTTGAATCAGTCTAGGATATACTCAGTTATGGGATGTTTTTTTTCCTTCATTTTAATCCAAATCCTTTTCTGTATTCATAATTTTATTATTTAAGTATATTTGTCTGCAGAGCAATTGTGTACATTATTTTAATCTCTATGTTTTCTTGCCTATTAATGCCTATTAATCGGTTATTTAAATTTTCTATTGAACATTGAAGAACAAAGAGTATTAGAAGAAATTATTATTTCGAATGACTTTGTCAGTTAATTACTTAATCAAATTTTTATATTTACCAGTATAGAGTTGTGGAGATTATTAAAGTTTTGATTGAGATCATGAACTGTGATCAGTGGAGCTAAACCCTATCGGGTAGGGACAGGTATCTACCTCAGTACAATGGATGATGGTTGCGCGATTTCTTTGATTGGCTGATATTAGACATTAACACTGTTGGATGCCAGCCGGCTCAGTGGTCTAAAGGTTAGGCGTTCGCGCGCGAGAATGAACACCCGTGGTTTGAATTTCGAGAGCGGGATCGTGGATGCGCACTGCCGAGGACTCCCACAATAGGACGAGACGGCCGTCTACTGCTTTCAAGTTTCCAATAATGGTCCAACATCATTCGGTTCATGATCTCAATCAAAAATTCTTATTAATAATATCATTTTTGTGAGGGAATCTAGTATTCAAACATTATCCGTTACAAATCAACACTTTCCAATGTTTAAATTACTAAGAGAATTACCTAATGGTTTGAATAAATTGTATTGAAAGTATCACAAACCTATGATAAATATATGCAAAAGCCTGTAAATACACGTGAGCCATTATTAATTTACCATATGTTTTGAAACATTTGATTAAATTTAGTTACAGACTATAGTTCAAAATAGTAGTTTTATATTATTTAGTTACACTAAAGTTTTGTAAGATCAGTAGAATATAGAGAAAGAGTACAGTTTTTTAATTATCTAGGGATTCTATTGTACAAGACATCAGTTCTCAAAGTTGAAGTAATTTACATCCATTCTATCTACAGTACCTACGGTACTATCTATGGAATTCTAAACTCACAAACTTCTCCACTATATGCTCTAAAGATTCGTGAAAGTTGATAATAAACAAGTTGAGTATTTAGGAAGCGAATATTATATTCAGTAAGTATTACACCAAAAGGATTGACAAACGTTTTCATGGTCTAAAATGTAGCTTAATTTATTTTTCCTGGAAGGAAATGTGCAGCACAATACTGAAACAAAACGATTTCTGACGTTTCGCCATATAATGTAAGCTACTTCTTCAGAATAAATAAATAATTGAAGTTAATTTGACACAAGTTTAAATAATACAAAGGAAATTATGCGAACGATCCAAAGAAGTAGACTTACATTAAGTCACGAAACGTCAAAAATTCACTATTCCTACTCATTGCTATATAATAAAAATATATTTATTATTGAATCTCCTCAAAGACCAATTTATTTGAAACTGCTAAGCCCAACCTTAGTTTTGGTACCTATAAAAAACATTGTTATGTACAGGAAATAGTTAATAAAGTAGCTGGGGCAAGATCGTGGATGCGCAATACTTAGGAGTCCCATACTGGGACGAAACGGCCGTCCAGTGCTTCCAGGTTTTGCATGATGGTCTAGCTTTAATTGAGTTATGACCTCAACTATTAAAAATATATTTATTAATAAGTTTTTTAAAATTATAACTCCATTAATGATAAATGATATTTGGTACTGTTAAATGTACTGGATCGGATTGTATCCAAATTTTTATACATTATTTTGATCAGATCTTTGGATATGGTATAAATATTTAATTCCAGCCATTTTTGTTTATTCATCTACTTGAATAATTTGAAATCACAAGCTGCTAGTCTGATTGGTAAGTAAATCCTGTCAGTTAGAAAACCATTTATATTTGATAACGCGAAGTTGTTGCGGAGATTTCATTATTTCATATTTACTTTTTAGGCCGACAGCATAGTTTTATACCAAGAAAAAACTAACTGACAGTTATCAATCCCCATCCAAAGTCCTGGATTATATTAGTGATATCTAGGTCATGGGTGTTCCCAAATTCCCTGGTACGGCCGAAAGTGGGGAGAATCAGCTCTCCCTCACGAAATGCTCTCACATGGCCAAGTGCATACAACCACTGCCAAAGGAATCCTACTCAATGTCTTCTCGCAGCATTACTGTTGTTTACGAAATCGAGAGGACGGAAAGCCAATATCCGGCGCTTTAACCGCGTTGGTGGACACTGAGAGTTCACCTAGGGGAGTCGGGAAATCCTGATTTCAAACCAATGGTGCATTTGGTCTCCAGGATCCTGAGGAAACAAATGGTGTATGAACCAATTGTTTGTGACTGGCTGCCATGGGACTGCATCTCCTGACGTTTCTCCACTGTATTGTAGATTAGACCTTTAGTTCAAAGGCTTCGGGTATGGCTCCCTAAGAAAACCACCCGTCCCGGTTTGGACACCAAGACAGTATCCTGGCTTTCACAAAAATTGAATGATTTATGTGGTACTTATCTATTTGGTACCTTCTTGTACCAATGTTTATGTGTTTAAATAAATAAATAAAAATTTATGAGTGGGATCTGTTGAGAAGTGCAATTATAGAACCAAATAGCTTTCTGGTACTTACTAATTTTCAATGGTTATTTAGCTAAGATTATGCTGAAGTGTAATCTATGAAAGCCATTATATCAATCATAATTGTATGCTCATTAATAGTATAACTGAATATATATATATAGTTTTTCAGTGCTATGAGCTTTAGAATACTTCTCCAATTCCCTAAAATTCTTTATAAAAACTAACATAATATTAAATGAAATCTTAATTCTTATCACTTTCGTTTACTATCATATGTATATATGAAGCTGACTGTTAACGCCATGTCAAATAACATTAAATAAGTAACAGATTAAATTTGCTCTCAAATGGTTTATTTGAAATACTTAGATCTAAAAGTAACAAGAAAACTAAAAAATATGGGTTCTACCAAAAATATTCAAGAATATCTTGCTTTTACAATCGGTTTTAGATGCGGATAGTTCTGTTTATTATGTTTTGGAGATTTCTTCAGCTTGTACAAATTCTAAATCGATTGCATTAATAAATTGTCAAACATAATGTTAAGGTCTCTTTCGGTCTCATCAACTAAATAGGAAATCTGTCAGTCAAAACCAAACTCATGATTTCTTTAGACATATCTTCTTTGTTAACCAATATTTCCTTACTAGAAACAATGGTTTTTATATGTAATCAACTTGCTTATTTGATACAGTTAAGTAACCAATTTTCAGGTTCATAATGAAAGTATATTTTGAATTTAACAATCAATTTTACAAACCCAAAGTTTCTTCTGACAAAACTAGAGAGTTGTCCATTTAGAAATGGAAAAATCGGCCAACTTTTCAAAGCCCCTACACAATCAACAGGTTTATAGTAGTTACAAATGTAATGACCAAGTTCAGTTTACTTTAAAGGTTTAATTTCATCTATCTATTTATCATCTTAATCATTAAAAAAGAACGTAATGGCAATATCTCTTTTCTTCAACGTCTTATTAACGAGAAGATTGAATAAAACGTTAAGAAGGATATATCGTAAGTTAACATCAGTTGGTCGATACACTCATTTTTAAAGCTCTGTACTTCTCAGGTATAGACAAAACCTAGTGAAAGGTTTAATACATTGTCCAAAACGTATTTTCTCCGGCAATGCCATTGAAGCCGTTTTAGGTACTATCTGAAACTTAATCGATATGAAAGCATATGCAGCAAAATTTATCAATGAACATGTTACTTAGGTTGGGAAAAAGGGAGTGATAATTTCTGTTCCTAAGAAGCTGATATTCCTGAAATCCAGGTTTTTTTGAACAACATTTTAAGTGAATTAAAAACATAACGAGTAAGGAAAGCTGAAAACACATACCTTACCACAAAAACGTGCATCCCGTTTTAAAACCGACCCATTATTCTGACTAGAAATAAAAAACTGCACATTCACCTCATATATGTATATTTATCAGTTCAACTACTCTTGTTGCATCCAGTTGCATCAAAATTACAATTAGACGATTCTGTCACTGTATTTTTAAACATCATTATGCCTGGTTAAGTAAAAGATCAGTAAAAAGAATTGAGAGTGCTATATTCTTTTACTTAATTGATAAAAAATATTAAGTAGATATAACCGATAAATTTAAAATCATCCAACGAATCCCACCAAATATATCACATGGTTTAGGTTAACTAAACCTTAATAGATCCAATATTTTACAAGTTTAACTTCTATCGATTCTTGATATTATATGACCATTGTTCATTGGTGTCATACTTCATATGATTGTAGCACACCAGTCAAGACTATTTACTAGGAATGTAAATAAAAATCAGTCACTGGTAAGACCGGAATTATTATTAATGTAGTTGTGCTATATTTAGAGCTTAGATTCTTAATATAACGCGCATAACTTGAGCACTCGAACGCTAGGACCCACCAAGTCCCAAATGAGAAGTAACAAAACAAGTGAAAGGAATGCTATTCCAAACAGTATCAATTATGGTAGAAAAACTGTCAGGTATTTATAGATTTTAGTAAAACCGAAATCAATATCATAGTCATTTAATCCGAATATACGGGGTTTTAGCGTTTGTCCAATAGATAAGCTACACGTAGGGATTTTGGAATATTCTTCCAAAAGATGATTGGATTGAATATCTTCTACTGTTTTTGAGTTTCTTAGATCTTTCTCTAGTTCACTCGTGAGCTATTTTCACAAGTTGATTTTCAGATATAATTAAATTTACATAAACATCTAAATTTTAAAAGGTTATCTAATATATCACCAATTAAGTAGTATATTTTACCTGTATTTTAGTATAGAGTCATGATTAGAAATAAAATATGAAAGAATTGAAATAGATTCATTTTGTGATCCATCCATTTTGTTTAGTTTTTTTGTAAATATAATCTACTTATGATTGAATGAGTTATAAATATATATTTGTTTATTATTTTAACAGGGATGAAAGAAACTTATATAAAGTGAATAAATATAAATGTTACATAATTAATGAACTTAAGGTTAGGTTGAATTTTAAGAATGATAAATATGAATATTGATTTTTCTTTCTTTCTGATAATTAATTATTAATATCAGAAGGGGTTTTTTCTGGATATTTTAGTCATTTTAATAGTTGAAATCATCAGTCAATTGACGATAGATCACCATGGAAAACCTGGACGGTCATTTCATTATATTATGGGACTCCTTAACAATGCGAATCCACGAGATTAGAGGTTTCTCATGATGATGGTCTAGCTTCAATTGACTTATGATCACAACTATTAAAATTAGTTATTAGTTACTAAAAATGAACAGTCTATAGGAACACAGAATAAAAGTCTATTAGCTTTTTATAAATATGATAAGAATCTGACATTAAAATATTAGGTTTGTAGAGATTTTATACAACTAAAAGGTAACCTAATGTTGATAACGAATCATAGAATATTGAAGTTTTATGGATTATTCAAAGGCGTCTATGACCTCTGTTGGGACTTGTCATTAGTGAATATTCACAATTTTATACGTGATAGAGTAAAAGACAATTAGGTCTGACAGTACGTATGATAATACACAATTAATATCTGGAAATTTAGTAATCATAAAATATGTTAATAATATACAGCAAATATAATCTGTAAACACTAGTGGCACCCTGAATTAGTTGATTAAAATCCAATTGTTGAAAACTGTTATTGGATAAGAAACTCTACTTGGACTTTACGCTAAGTCAGTTCCTCATTTTTATGTTCCTAATAATTAAATCGACTGGAGTCAGACAAGGCTGCCTACTCTTCCCTTTCTTCGTTCTTCTGGTGGTTGACTAGATTATGAAAACCTCGACATCTGAGCGGAAGTATGAAATATAATAGACAGCTCGGAATCAATTAAAAGATTTGGACTTCGAAGATGACCTAACACTTCTACCCCATACACACGAATTGGATTGGCAAGGCAAGGACAACATTCCTACAATTGAAGAACATATGGAACTCAAAACAACTCTCAACCAATATCGAAGTCAGAATACTTAATACGAACGTAAAGACAGTCCTACTATACGGAGTTGAAACTTGGAGAACTACCACATCCATCATCCAAAAGGTACAGGCATTTATAAACAATTGTTTACATAAGATACTCAGTGTCCGTTGGTTGGATACCATCAGCAACAGCCTTCTGTGTGAGAGGACAAACCAGCTTTCATCTGGAGAGGAAACTAGGAAACGACATTGGAATTGGATAGGATATAGATTGAGGAAATCATCAAACTGCATCAGGAGGCAAGCGCTAACTTGGAATGTTGAAGAGAAGGGGAAAAGAGGAAGGTCGAAGGACACATAACGCCGGGAAATAGAAACAGATATGAAAAGGATGAATAACAACTAAAAAGAACTGGAAAGGATTGTCCAGGACAGGATTGGATGGAAAATGTTGTAATCGGCCTGTGCTCCTTGACGAGGGGTAATAGACGTAAGTAAGTAATAATTTAATCCTCATAAGCTAGAAGCCATTGTTTTTAGTTGTGTGAATCTATGCCTGAAATCAGATAAAAAATGGGCTAAATTTATTTTTCAAAGTTTTACCAAAAACAAATGATGATTATGTAAGTATAAGGCATCACATATTTGTGTAAATAATGTCAGAAGTTAGAATGTTTCTGATTGTTTCATCTATAGTGACTACTATCGGTGCTGAAAGTTAGGTGCGGCTAAACCAAAACGTGGCATCAGTGCTTGCAGTCACTAACTACTGGTCTGAGCCATGTTGGTAGATTCAGACTACTTGTTTGGGTTCCGCATGACTATCATATTGAATGGTTAGAGACTCTGGGTAACATGGATCAGGATCAGTCACATTGGCGTAGATGTATACACTCTCTGTCTTTTTTTAAACCGTGAGATTAAAACTACTTTATACCGTTCTCTCTACGAACCAGTTATTTCTCCCTGTATCATATCCTTATATGCAATCTTTCTTTTATATATTACTTCCATTGAAGTAACTACTTCTATGAATTTGGTGTTTATCTTGTTGTGCTAATGAGGTGTGGTAACTTGGACCGATGCTTATATCTGCATGGTCCTATATTGTGACTGACTGACTGACTGACTACCGGTGCCATTTAACACTGTTAGTAGAGCACGAATTAATATTTCTGATGACTAAAATTTCGCCTTTTTTCATTAAATCAAAACTCATACTTTGAATAAAAGGGATGTGTAAAATGGTTGAAAATTTAGGAAAATGGTGTTTATTATAATGAAACTTTAAAAAACTAAAAAACCAAAAACATTTATGTTTTAAAGAAACTGCAAAATTTGATATACTGGTAATTGCAGGAGTTATGTATACAGCTGCATAAGTGAATATATCAATTAGGTTATTGTATTTTCGTAATATTAAAAGCGAGACCAGTGTATCCATTAATTATCCAGTGTTTATTCAAAATAAAAGTTTTGGATTTTATCGAAAATTAGATATTTACTTATAAGCAGAGATCAATGGTGACAAGCAGTGGAATCTAGGACTCGCGTTTCTTCCTATTCAAGATCAATCATCTGGATGCACCTGCATTCCAGAGATTATGTTCATCGCAGAACTTTTATCCATTACCATTCGTTTCAAACACCATTGCACCATCCACTTAGCTACTGAGTCCTTATGGTTACTAGCTTGTATAATGACGTAAACAATCAATACAAAATGATTTAGATATTTACTTGCTTAATTTATCAAAAACAAAATGTATTATAACCAACAAATGTAATTTATGATATAAATAAATTGTATATCAGAATGTGTGCTCCTAGTTTGTTATCTCAATCGGAAAACTTCTGATTTTATGTTTATCTTTAAAATCAATGTACACAAATGAGAAAAACAACTTCAATGCAGTACGAATCAAGTTTTAATATAGACAGAGTTGTAAATTCAAGTTCAATGTATACCTTTCTATTGAAAATTAAGTACAGCTGTAATAACAACTCAATATTTTTATTACTATTAGATTAAATATTGACTAAGGTATCATACTGATTAATTTAAAGCATTGGTATAATTCATTCTGCTCTAATTATTTCATTTATGTTTAAAATATAAATAAATATAGAGTGAAACCTATGGGATTTTAGTAAACAATAACATATTAACAGCAAGAGGGACTAGAAAATCGTTATTATCAAGGTTTAAGTTGTTACTTTGTATTATTTAAACTTGGATTAATTTTAATTTGGTTATTTATTTTCTGAAGAAGTTGGTTGCACTGAGTCACAAAACGTTGAAAAATCTAATTATTTTTACTCACTGTGACATTACAAATGTATTAATTTATTTAGAAAAACGTTAATTTGTTTGTTTGTTTCAGTAAGTAACAAAAGTTTAAACATGTGCATCCTCTGTTAAAACCACCTGCTTCAGTTTGGTTACCCGGGCAGTATCCCAATCCTCACATAGATCGAATGATTTATATGGTGTATATCTATTTGGTACCTTCTTGTACCACTGTTTATGTGTTTAAATAAATCGATAACAGGAAAGGAACAACGAATTAGTTTCATCTAGTTAATAACGTTCAATATAATGTCTTACTGTGAACTTTGAAAATGAAATGTATCCATTTCCTTAACATCCATTTATATAACAAATAGTATGTGTTAGATTTCAATAAGTCATTAATTAGTTGACTGAAGTAAACTAGAATAATGCCTTAATTACAATTATGACAAAATGACTAGTGTATAAATTCTAAGCATTGATCTTTCTTACCATCTTTTAAAATTAACATTTTTTAGTATGATCAGTTATCAAAACAAATAAGTTTAGATGAAAACAAACAATTAGAAACATTTTTGTAAGCAATGATGGATAGTGGCTAGCAGTGGAATGCAGGACGCGCGTTTCGTCCTATTTGGGGCTCGTCAGCTGGATGTATCTGCATCTCAGAGTTAATGTTCACTCTGGGACTCGAGCCCAGTACCATTCGCTTCAAACGTCATCGCATTATCTACTTAGCTACTGAGTCCTGATAGCCACTTGCT